CGTTTCAATTTCAATAATTTTGCAGTTTAAAATATAAAATACAGCGAAGATATTATATATATATTATAAATATTATTGAAGTAAAATTAAAAATTTATAGTGGAGAATAACATAATTGAATTATATATTATTGAAATTCAGACTTCGAGTTTTAATTTTAATTTACTTAAAATATAAAACTTCTCTATTTACAGAAAAATCAACCACGAGATGACTACCGTAAACTATTAGAATTATCATCAGTGTTTTTGGGAAATAGACCATTTGAAAATATGACTTTTAAATCTCCTGGGCCAACACATCATGCTCGATGGCTTTCTAAATATATATATATTGCTTAAAAATTTATCTGTTTCAAGAACAATTTTCACTCAGCCGGGCAGAAGCTTCGGAACTACGCCATATTTGTATTTTTATCGTTTTATTATACCTGAAAGCATGGTATTGTGCGCCTTCAGCAATCCAAGCTCCTCGACAGGATTTAGACTCCCAACAATTTTTTTAAATTTACATCCTGACCAGTGGAAATCTGACGAAAGTTATAATATTTGCTTAAAATTTTTTAAAAACTTACACGTCCTTAATGATGCTGCGGAACGGGCGGTCCAATTGATGGAAGCCTACAATCGGAGCTTAACTGCTGATGAAGAGCAGAAGCAGTACTTATTGCAAGTTGTAGCTATGCACAGAAAAAAATTTCCAAATGCTAACAAGCAGACGTTAATGTTACCATTTTTAGAAGAATAAACAAAAATTAATTTTTAGTATTTATAACGATTAATTAATAATAATTTGAATTTAATTACTGTATTAAAACGAGTTAATACTTAAGGCTCTAAAATGTATAATAAAATGGAATTTGAGGTCTATTTTTATAAAAGTTTATATTTCCAGCGCTATAACTCTGAAACTACTGGTTATACGGTCTACGAGCAAAGGGATGATTTTGTAGAGAATTTAATTTCCTACAAAAGCTATAAAAAAGTTTTTAGGGAAAAAAGTTTTTAACAGCGAAAAATCTAATTAAAACGAACAAAAAAAATGTTCTGTGTTATTTCAATGGGAAATTGAATTTTTAAATGAGCTAAGCCGCTAATGCACTTAGAACCTTTTACCCGGCGGCATAATTTTTTATTTTCTATAAAGTATTAGATTTTCTGGTATAACAGCGAAAAAAAAAAAATGTCACCTAAAAATGACACACCCTAATATATATTATATATACTAACAATTACCACGAATTTGAATCTAATCTTAACCAGATCTGGTAGGTTTGTTTAACTTTTCTATTTCTTGTTTCGAAACGGTTTTCGGCTATGGATTCATAAGATTTTTTGAAGTTGTAGGAACTTATATATTATAGAGATTTAGGTCGGTATATATAGTGATGTTATTATTTTCGAAATATTTAAATGTTGCGAAAAATTTCCGAAACTTTTGTAATTTTAGCAAATTTTACTTAAAAAATCTATTAACTTTTTTTTTATAAAATAAAACAATAAATTGAATTGACATTCAAATTAGCCGTTTTTTTCCCTTTATTATAACACACAAACATAAACTAGTATATTTTAAAAACATCTTTGTTTTCATAGTACATAGTATTCAGTGGTGGTAATGTATCTTTAGGCCAAATAGTTATAAAGACGCATGGAATATAAAACGTACGAACGAGTGAGATAAACAACCATCGACTGGTTAGCAAACGTGATTCCCCTCCGTCATGAGTGGCAGTAGAAATTTTTAAAACAATTAAATCAAAATGGTCCATTGCCCGCCAATGTTTTACTTCCCATTCTTTAACTATCTGCGTTATCCCACCCACTTGAAAGATTTGTAGATTTGCTTTTATTTGGTGTCAGTCTCATTACGCTGTTTTAAAACAATGTTACGATTTTATTATGATTTTGTTTACAAAAACAAAATACCTTGTAAATATTTTTTAGGAAATGTGGAAAATAAACAATAATATTCTTGTCTTAAAAAAAACAAATATTCTAAAAAAAAAGTATTTTAAAAACGTAAAGAAAAAAAATTAAAGTAGGTGTTCAAATAGCTGCCCAAACGCTGCCGAACAAAACGTCAATCTGTCATAAAAATTTTGACGGACATTTGCCAGCATATTAGGGTTTATATTTCTTAATGTATTAATAATCATTTCCCCGTAATTCATCAAGATTATTGGCCCTAAGATCCATACATTTTCGACTTCACATATCCCCACATAAAAAATCACACGGAGCCAAGTCCGGTGATTTTGCTGGCCAAAGAATATTTCCGTGACCACTTAATAATAATAATCCGTTCTGACCAACAGAGTGTTATGTACGGGACATCCATCCTGTTGAAACCACACGTCTTCAAAAGGCACAGGCAGAGCACGAACTGCGGGAACAATTTGATTTTGCAGCAGTTCAAGATACCTTTGACCATTTAACGTTCGATCTATAAAAAATGGGCCGATAATATGGTCTCCTAGTATACCACCCCAAACGTTTAATTTTCGAGGTCTTTGGGTGTTGGCAGCATAAAAATTGTGAGGATTATCCTCGACCAATATCGTTGGTTCATGGAATTGTACCTACCATGTAAAGTAAATGAGGACTCATCAGTGAAAAGGATATTTTGGGTAAAATTTTCGTCCCGATTCGCCATTTCAAATACGGTTTCGCAAAATTCCATGCGACCGTATTGATCACGAGAAAACTGCTCATTGCCTCTCTTTAATTTGTGAAAGGTCAAGTTGTTTAACTTCGTTTACAGGCCTTGCTTGCGGTTCCCTATTATGGGTACATTTTTACCACAAATACACCACCTAGTTTCAATACATTCCCTGGTCTGACAGTCAGACTCTGACTGTGTGACAAGTTGTATGCCCAAGGCACACAAGGACTTCCCCACCACTCTAATAACAAAATCCCCTCTTCACACGTCTTATTTGACATCTCTATTGTTTGTCTTTGTTTACTATTTGGATTAAAGATACATTACCACCACTGTATATACATACATGCATATTACCATAATGTATAAATGGCTCATCTTTAGGTTGTTCTGTTCGTTGCAACCAGTTTTCTATATCTTTTTTTATATTTTTAAATGTTGTCTGTTCATTTTGAAATAAAAAATTTGCTATTTATCATAGTATTGCTAGATAAGGTAAAGTTTCATGTCACGTCATGTCAATATGTGCCTTATGAACTAGAAAAATATTAAAATTAATATAATGACAATAGTTTAAAGGGTTTTGAATAAATATTAAATGATTTTAATTTTTAACAGAATTATATCAATTTGATTTATTGATCTTACTTTAAAAATGGTAGTAGTTGTACCCTCATCGAATTCTGATTTCGATTATATACTTGTAAAATCAGTTGCTTCTGTATATGAATGCGGTAATTTTAAAACAAATAACAGTGTAATACAGGACGTTTCGTTGCTTAAAAGGGAGTATTGACCGTTAATTTTAAATTTTGAATTCTCCTTTTTCTTTAGTACGTAGTTTGCAGTAGATACTAAAATGCTCCCCTCCGTGAGGGATAACTGGTCACCTAGGTTCTCTAGGTGGCATCGCAACTTTTATCCCGAACTTTCAACTTTACGCTAGTTGCTTCCAGTGTGGACCTCGTTCTCCACAGGGCAACGTTAACGTTGACAGACTAACAGTTAACTGCCCTGTTAAACTAACAACGTTTTTCCTATTTTTGAACCTGTAGGGGGTAGATGGCGTAACGAGCCTCATGTCATTCCATTGATTTGCATAAACTTTTAAAAGAAACAATGCCTAATCGTGTAATCCTTTGCTACTTCATAGCCGAACAGGGTTTTTCTCAAGCTCTTTTTCCCTGGTCGTATCTCCCTAAGAGCCACCCCTTGTTTTTTTAAACTGTTTGTAAAGTAAATTAAATTGGGGTAAACTAAACACTGTATTTTATTTTTTTGTATACCTAATTTTCCCAAGTATGATTCTTAAAGCAATGTATTTAATAAAACAAGTAACAGGTAACCACAACGTATACGTTGAGGTCCAAATTTTGGTAAGACGATCACGAGCCATAGTTACAAAATAGTTCATTTATTAATTTTTCATAAAACTTGTTTTAACGAACCTGGTGTAAGGAGAAATCTTTACAATACCAAAAATATAATAAAAGCCTCACGAAAATTAAATAACTAATTTAAATATCGATCTTTAAGGAGACCCTGGATTTCAGCTAGGTGTTGGTGTTGACGTTGGGATTCATCAAACAACTGTTTCCAAAATTATTGATAAAGTCTCACGTGCAATTAGCAGCAAGAAAAAGTATTGAATTAAATTCCCTGCTACAGGCGATACGTTTAACATAGCTAAAGATGAGTGGGCAGTACATCATGCAATACCTAATGTTATTGGTTCAATTGACTGCAATCATGTAAAAAATTTAAAACCTCATGTCCATGGTCCATGAATATATTAATAGAAAAGGAGTTTCCTCAATAAATATACAAGCCACGTGTGACTGTAGAGAGATGTTTACCAGTGTGGATACAACATGGCCTGGATCTGTCCACGATTCTAGAATATGGTATAATTCTTCCATTTATCCTATTATGTACAACAATCAAGAAAATGTATGTCTTTTGAGCGATTCCGGATATTCTGTAAGTCCTTGGATGCTTACACCATTTAAAAATCCGTCCACAAATATTTTAATAAAATACGTACATGCGTCTTGCATTATTATTGAAAGATGCTTTGGGCAGTTGCCAATGTTAAATTATACAGTTCGACTTAAAACTGATAAAATATGTCGATATATTATGTGTGGATTGTGTGATGTGTAGTTTTTGTACGATCCATATGAAGATTTTCAACAAATTGATGTAGAAGAAGAACCAATTATGCATGAATTTTATGCTTAACCAAATAACGCTGAAATTAGACACCGAGGTATGCAGTTTCGTAATGAAATTGCAGAACTAATGTACAGACAATGGTAAAACAACATTATAGGCGATCACCCTGTACTTAAGTTTTTATTTTTGAGGTATATTAAATGCTTGAATGTTGTTACTTTAGCGGCCTTTCCTTGAGCTAAAGCAGTATTTATTTGTTTAGGAAGTAATGTTTTTTGCAATTTTTTTATTGATTCGTTGTCATCACCAGAAGGTGTTACATCCTTTTCATCATTAAATCGATCTGCATCATCTCTACTGGTGCAGTGACTTCCCTAAAAACTTTTTCTGTAAAAATAGTTTGCTCTAACGCATAACTTTAAGGAATTATTATTAAGCTTGTATAATAATACCATATCATATATGGTACATTAGTTTTATTTGCAATGCATTTATATATAATACGTATAAGCTACCTGGCACTCTTTGAATGACTTGTATTCTCATTTCCGTTCCATAGGTCATAAAATTTTATCATTTTTTGTCATTTAATTTAATTTTCTTTTTTCCTGTTTTCTTCATATCCGTAATTTTCTTTATTTTGCTTTTTATATTATTAACTTTTTTTAATACTTGTTTAATATCTAAGTTTGGTTTTGCATTGTTGTTATAAATTTCCGCTAATTCTTTAAGGGCTTTGTCTTTTGCAGACTTGATGGCAGGTGTCATTCTTTTATCCAGAATTATTTTGTAATCTTCTAGCATTGTTACAAAGGCTTCATTTTCGTACCCTTTTTCATCTAAAGACATTTTATATAAGTACGAGTACACTACCACTTTAATATTTTATTAATAAAATAAAACTAAATATCTTATATAATTGTCTTAACCTACAGAAGCGCTTTTTGCAGTGTTTTTCTCTCTCTGTCTCTCTCCCTTTCCTCAACATAAAAATATAAACATTGTAAAGCATATACTACGCAATAAAAGTAGGTACTACAAGCAGTGCAGTAAATACTTCTACGTCAAGCAAATACTTCCAGAACTGACCAGATGCTTTATGATGTAGCAGATATTTCGAAGTAGATCCTTAAATTTACAGTATTAGCATCTACTTCGTTTTTATTCATCGACTCATTGTATGTATACTTAGTTATGATTCTATGATGAAAAAGCATTGTAACAATCACTAATACATAATATTAATGTACAAAAAATTGACGACAGCGGTTTATTAATTTTACGTACAATTTTTTTTTCTGTTATAAGAAATATATCTATTGCTGTAAAAAATACAAAATTAAAAGAAAAGAAAATATTTTAATATCGGATATATAAAAAATTCTGTCTGTTTCATTTAAATGAGTAAATGATAAATCAATATTTTTGGAACAACCTGTACATTTATTCTTAATGGCAAATGTTGTGTAATGAACCATTAGTAATTCACCACAGTTTTCTGTTACCTGCAAGAGGTAGTACATCCACCAGCCAACAGATGCCGTACCATGTACTAAAACAACAATTTTAACATTTATTGGAGCAGAACGGCGTCATGTTGTCATGATTTCTTTGTGCAAGTTTTAGCTATAAAAGGCGGATTTGGACATTAATAAAATCAGTCTATTGGTGGCTCAAATTCCGACTGGTCGAATACTGGATGGAAGAACCAATACCAAGACTTAAATGCACAAGGACTATTTTTTAGTGATATAAAACAGTAGGTTAACCTGGGGCTTATATGCTGGGCTTTTATGCTGAGCTTTTATGCCGTATTTAACCTATTTGCTATCCTGCCACCCGTCCTGTCATTAATAATTAATCCACATTTAACATCCAAGTGAACATATCCTCACTTATATATTTTGCATTAAATATTTCTTATTTATAGCCCCAGTTGCAAGTAACCTGCCTGTCTGTGGAGGAAAACGGAGCCTGTACCTGCCTGTTGCCTTTTGGGGTATCAAAGAACGAAATATTGACCTGTTTGCATACATAACATTGTATAATACCTGTCTACGATAGACCTTTATTTTATGTATATATCCTTTACTTATACTACGTTTCCTAGTGACCCCCTTCTACTTTCATCCAGCAATGGGTGCATGGGCAATTTTGTTCCATATTATATAATATTAATAGGTATGGATTGTAACCTTACCTTGAGGGCTATGGCAAACGGCAGCTTATCAGTGGTGAGTTGGGTCGATGGGCAAATGTTGTTTCTTGATACTTGCGTGTATTTTACTAAAGGCAAATAAAAATTGGGCGCCAGTGCCTTATTTGGGCTAGTTGTTAAAGTCTAAGTAAGTAGGACACAACCTTACTAAAGATTAAAAGTTGTTATAACAAAAAAATAAAGTTAAATATTATAAGTATAATGAGTACTATATCTCAGTTGTTGGTGAGTTAACACTATGTAGTTGATTAATTATAACTTTGGGTCCCCTTATATGGCCATATGTGGTTTACGAAAACCTATTTAACGTATTTAAGACTAAATTTGATATAATTAACCGATGATATAAATACAAGTTTAAATAACTATAATATTAAAGTTGAAGAGTATTAAAATTTGGTTAAACTAAAATATTTGAGTAGTCAACGGAGTGTAGTGAACATGGTATCCAATAAATATAACATAACAAAACTTTAGTACGACCTGATAACAGTTTGGGCTCTGGTAGTGTGGGGTTTCAAATCAGACTTTACAGGGTGGCTTTTCAATAATGTCAGAATCTTGCCAATATCAAAACTTTAAGGCAGAAAAACATTCCCTCACAAAAAAACTTGTCGTAAAAATTCGAAAATAAAAACCTTAAAAAATAGCATGACGCGTAAGCATCTTAACAAAACTACAAAACGCCAAACTTACAATTTGTCTGAGAGGTTTTTAATCTTTAAGAGAACTTTCCTACGCTGGAAAAAACTTAACTAAACTTTGCAGAATGAAATACATAGCTGCCTAAACTGGAGGAAGCGTCGGTGAAAAAAACTAAATTCAATTAAGTCCAAAATCAATTTCTTTTTTCATCTTTCGGGGCTTTAGTTTCACTTTCACTGCTGTTATGTTCCACATTTTTCGTTGCATAAATGTCTTCTTCATTTTCTTCTGCTATGTCTTCTGCTGTTATATGAATTGAGTTTACATTCAATTTTTCATTTGCAACATCACTATTACTAATATATTTTATTGGTATATATATTACACAAAACACAAATAAAAAGTCATTAAAAAAACAAACACAATTTGGTTTTAAAACTTCTGAAAGTATTTAAAAAACATCCCCAATAGCAAAAAATATGCAATAAATATTTAAAAAAAATATTTTTTAAATATTTGTTAAATATTTTTATATATATTTGTTATTGTACGATTTAAAAATGGACAAATGCTATATTATCACTGTAGATATGTGAATATATGTTTAAATGAAAAAACTGAAAAAGAGATTAAATCATTGTAAAATATTAACTTATTTTTACTTTTAAAATGTCCATTTCATGGTCCGCTGCCCTTGATATGGACAGGTCTGTCCATCAAGGTACAAAATCATTTTAAAAAGAAACTAAGCTTCTAGCTTGTGCTTAAAGTGTTAATATATTTAGAAATAAAACATTAAAAGCATTTATTACAAAAAAAAAATTGAGTTCCCACTTATGCCACAGATGGCACTCTTCTTTACTTAAACTGTATTTTCCTTCACAATTTATACAAACATAATCTTTTTCATCTCGGAAGTTTTTGTTTTTTTGTTCAGATGAAGAAACGTCTTCCTCTTGTTCTAGTTGGATTAAATATTTATCAAGATTTTGAGGCGGTGGAGATTCATCATGCAGGGAAATCTGAGTATCCGTATCAGTGTCACTATCGGGGATTTCTTCGGATATTTTAACACCTTTTTTACTTTTTGGCTCCATTGTCAACTTTTTTCTTCTTATTGTGCTTTTCTTGTTCAGCTTTCAAAAGTTCATCTTTTTCGGGAGTGTCAGTGATAATGGAGCATTTTTCCTTTTTCCGGCCACTTCGTTTAATTTGTTTGCGCGGTGGTGCCTTAGGATAAGGTCTTACAATTTCAGGAGAAATAATCCCCAATTCTTCCTGGCCTTGTTACTGGTAGAACGCAAATTTAGGTCATAGTTTATGAGAGACCTGTCTGGGACAGAATGAGTAGAAGTATTTGTTTTAATTGCCAAGTCTTCCCTCAGTTGTGTGGAATTTGCTAACTAATATTTTATTTTCCTTATTTGCTATTAAATTTGGATTAGGTCTGTCAGTGACACTTGAAGATAGGAAATCGTCGTCGGTAAATATATTGGAATTGAACGGTTATATTCCTGTTTTTTCGAAACTTTTACAGATATTGCTGATTGTAAATAACTCACTAAACGCTGGATTGACAAACACTGCAACTTCATACAATGTTACGGTTTTTCCCGGATTGCACGTTAACCAGTTGTCCATTGTCAGTTTATATCTTGATTTGAAAGGACCGTATACTGCAACATCAAGAGGTTGCATTCTGTGACTGCAATGGGGGCAATGTCAAAATAATGATGTGTTTCTGTCTTGCAAAATTAACCACTTGCAGATTCACATGAGTTGTATGATTGTCCCTAATAATCAAAGCTTTTTTTATCAGCAGTTGGTTGAACATGATCCACAAAATGCTTCAGGGATTGAACAAATATTTCTTCAGTCATCCAACCGGATGGATTCGCTATTCCTTTGGAACCCACGGGAGCACCTTTAGGTATGTTGTCTTTAAAATAGACTGATGAAGAAAAGGACAGTTATAAGTGTTCCTCTTTCTGCGGAGGCAATTTGGCCTACTTGTTTTGTACCTCGCACTGCTACTACCTTTGGTGGTTTCGTTACAGTCATGCATCCGGTTTTATCAAAATTCCATATCATATTAGGAGCAAAATAATGTTTCTTGTAAAGTTTTTCTAAGTTTGCAAAAAACGTTGTGGTATTTGTTTTATTGAAACTGGAGGTTCGAGTTAAGGACGGGCTTTCGGGTTGACGTAGCGATAGCTCCTTGTTTCGATGCATAAAACCATGAAGCCAGCGAATACCTGCTTTTTTGTTTCTATTCCACTCCGTTGGTGCGACTATTTTATTTGCCAAAGCAAACTGGTTATCAAGTTCTCTGGTCTGCGTTGTAGTTAAACCATGACACATTTTAGATGTTGTTTTAAGGTAAGAAACTAACAGCTTCTCCTGATCCTTAATAATATCATTGTTTTCTCAATATGCGCATTAAATGCTTTTTATTTTTTTCATCGGAAACCGTTAGTCGTACGAAAAATGGTCAAGAAATCAAATTTGCCCTAAAATGAATGGGGATTTTAAAAATAATTTTTATTTTGAAAAATAGCAGTGGCGAGCACAATATTTTTCCAAAAATATCTAGACATCAAAAACTTACTGTTAATGCTTAGAAGGCGTGTACCAAATTTTATAAAAATATCTAGGAAGTTATTAAAGTTATGATAAAAAAACGATTTTTTTCTTAAAACTTTAACACCCTGTAACTCAAAAATTAAGAGGGATAGGTCATAGGTTTATTTGAACTTTTTTTCTTAAAATCAACTAAGGATTCACACCCTTAAGGTTCATCATCTTATTCTGAAACACCCTGTAATGATTAATAAGGGTAGTATTGTTAAAATTAGACGGTTTGTGTGAAATATGCCCAAACAAAAGCAAAATCTGTGAATTTATATAATAGACTGTTCAAACTAATAAACATTAACTTATCTTATTTACTAACCAAAACTAGCTTGACACAGTTTTATATTGCAAAAGGGATTTTTTTTCTTCTTGCAGTGCCAATTCCTTGGCAAACAGTTTATTCATTGCCAAGTACACCCTTTTGTGTGCATTAGTTCCCCCAGCCAAATAAAGAAAATTTACCTAAAAATCAAAACAAAACATTTTAGGAAGTAAATATATATTTTTTTCGTTGTAGATCCATTTATAACAAATAACTTACCAATTCGTTTATTATTGTGGGTTCAGCAATCAAGGCATCTACTTCCTCTAATTGTTTTGTACCATCACATGGAAGTTTTTCTTAAAAAAACATTTGAAGTGTCTACCATAGTACTCTGATCAGCAAAATTATTTTTGTTGCCGCAATTGTTCATAAAATGTTCCACTTTAACTTCTTTCATGTTAAATTTGATTTCAGTTCATTCCTCTAACAATGGAGCTAAATCTAAAAAATAAAAGTTAATTTATATAATCTTTTACTGGCAGATTGGTTATAGTAAATGTTAGCTAAATAATTTACCTACCATTGGAAATTTGACTTGACCCTGAAGAGACCTGCCTTAAACCTGGATTAGAGGAACTTGGTGTTTGATTGGAAAACAAAGCCAGTCTTGAAACTGTGGTATTGCTTTCAGAATTTTGTTTTGAAAAACGTTTATGATAATTTGGAGCTGAAATAAAACAAATATATGCATTCTTTTAAATATTTAAAAATTAAAATAATGGCAAGTTGTACAAAAACACTCAACTATTGTAAATTAAACTGTGGTTAGAGCCATTTAAAAGGCATATTTTTCAAAATTTTACACTATAATGCTTTAATTTTTAAATATACAGTTTAATGTTTTGTATACAACTTACCCCAAACTTAACTTACATGAGGAAAATTGTCTTCTATTTTCTGAAAGACATGTATCATTTTCATGCGTATTTTTTAGGATACTAGAAGTCTGGTGTACTAAAATTAGAAAAAAATAAATAAAAGCAATAGGTGATTTATGTTTCTTACAAGTTCAAAGGCTCCGATGAAATTTTTTTCCGGATTAAGTTCTGTCCTCTGACTAAGGGCACATTCCCATCTGACGAGTCTGAATCAAATGGCAGCCTTTTAATAATTTTTCTCTTTTTCTTTCTATTTTCATTGTTACACTCCTGGTCAGTAATTTCAAGGTTTGAAGTGTACGTTTCTTTGTCACATATTTCTTTTGCCTTCTGCAAATCTTTAACGTATTCAACTTTGCAAACAGCATCAAACCATTCAAAAGGTTCATTTTCAAGAGACCCATTATTATTAATTAGTTTTCTTATTTTAAAATCGTTTTTACCCACTGGGTATTTGGTTTTAGTGTGGTTGGCCCACGATGGAGGTACATTGATTATAATCAATGGTGTTTTCTTGCGTCTATACGACAATGTCCCAAGAATGCTTCATTTTTTGTTTAGTTGGTATAAATTATTTTAAACTTAAACTTTTTTTACAAACTATGCTTATAAAATAATAATAAAAAGTTTCTTATAATTACTAAAGAAAAAATAAAATTTAACATTACTTGCTAGGTTAAAAGAATATATTAGATACTTATTTAAAAATCAAGATGAAGTATTTCAAAAGCCACATAATATGTTTTGCAATTAAAAACCATAGCCTTCCTTAATATATCTGTAAGTTTAACATTACATTTATTGTGTTCTTTATCAAAATTAAAGAACTGAAATACTCCAACTTCCTTATATTTTATAGGATAAGTATAAGTATCTTTTAAAAATACATAACAGTAATTTGTATTTAAAATATTATATTTTATTTTAAACAAAGATTTTTGGATATATTTAAAAGTTTCATTGACAACAAAACTTTGTTTGTTATCTTTACAAGACATAAACCTAATGGTTCTTCTTAAATCACATTTAAAAAACTAATGAAATAACATTTTTTTATAGCTCCCAAGCAGCACAAATGCATATAATCAAGTGCAAAATTGTTAATTACAACAAAATCTTCATGTGTACGTTTCCTAAAGTTTTAAAATAAATAAACCATTCTGTTTTTTTTAATAAGTACCTTTCTGACAACCTATTTCACAACCAAATTGCCCATTGTGCCCAACAGTACATTTAATAAATAAACGTGCTGGTGCATCACAAGTAAAACAAAACAAGTTAACTTTTATATTAAAATTATTTAAAGAAATACCGTTTAAAACAAGATCATTTACTTCTATTATAAAATCTTTTAAATAATTATCAACACACTTTGGCTTAGTACACTGATAAAAATATTTACATGCATTATCAATGTAAAAGTGTGACCATCGATATTTAACGTAAAATCACACGTGTATTGTTATCCGTTACATCGAAAATGTAAAATTACAAAACAACTGGAATGGCTTATTTTAATTATATTTGTGAAAATACATATCTTTTGTAAATTTACCACATTCGTAAGAAATTATATTTACATTAAAATTTGTATAATTCCTTTATTTATTTAAGCTTACTTTGTAATTTTACAATATATTAAGTATATTTACTAGGTTTTAGGAAAAATTTATTTACAAACATTTGTAAAATTAATCAATATTAAGGTAATTTTAATAACCATGCATGGTTTAGGAAAGATAATAATAAAACAATTTTTAACATTGCAAAAGTAGATTTATATTTTTAAAATATTATTACATAAAAAATCAAAATTAAAAAAATACATTATTAAAACAATAATAATAATAACAAGTACCTAAGTGTTATAAGTTTTATAATATATATAGAGATTAAAAACATCAAATAAAATATTATCACATTATTTAAAACGTGCAATAATTAAAAAAATAAACATACCTGTGGAAATCAGATTCTGATATAGATTTTTGTCATTTAAAAGTATAAAAACTTTTTTGTTCGATCGAGTGTCCAAACTTTAAAGAGATGTTTGGACATTTTAATACCTATAACATTTAATACAGTAGTTTACTGTTTAAAAAGTATTAAATTAATACATAGTATTCTTATTACTTAAATTTTAACAATTATAATAATTAATATTATAATTGGATACAGACAACAAGGAACCATGACAAATCAAGAATAAAATACTACTTGTAACTTGTACAACACACAATGTGTCTCTCAATAAATATTTTAACATTTGTATACAAATGTATATATATAGGTGGTTGTTTCTACGTTGTTTATCTATATCCAATTAATAATTTACTGTGAAAATATTGTTTAGCCAGAATGTGAAAAATATACAAAATTAATTAACATATATTTAGAAAAAATGGTTTTAAGTAGCTGGATTTTGTTTTTAATATTTAAGTATTACAAAAATAATTAGATATTATTTAAAACCATTTTTAGAAATGTTTGGTAATGTATTTAAAAGTAATGGTAAAACACCGTGTACAAAATATGCTCATAAAAACAATTAGTCAAAGGGTTCTGATTTAAAACAATAATAAATCTCATTATTAACAGGAAATTTTAATACAGGTTCTGGATTATTAAGATCATCTACGCAATTAATTATATATTCATAAGTATCATCTTTTTTAATTTCAAAATATAAACCATTGTCTTCATTATATAAAATATATAGTTTTGGCCCTATAAAATATAGATTATCAAAATTTGGATTTACAATAACAATCTTAATTTGAATCAAAATGTATTCACCATAAATATTTCTTTTAGAACAAATAAACATATTCTCTTTATATGTGATTCCTCTAAATGAAACATTATTTGATACAAATAATTTGTCTGTATCGGTGCTATCTCCTGAGCTATCTAGGGAGACCGTAGATACAGACATGCCATCCTCGTCGGTGCTGTCTTCTGAGCTATATAGGGAGACCGTAGATACAGACATGCCATCCTCCAGGCAATCTGTAAGGTTCCCGTCCACTATTTTTGTCATATGACAATCATTGGTGGGAACCAAAACAAATAAGAGGCGCCTCGTGCAGGATACGCACCAGCTCTTGTTGTGCAAAAAAATATCGACTAGATCCTCAACTTCTTTGGAAGTATGCTGTGTCACATACTCATTTATCCGAAAATCTGCAAATTTGCGTATGCATTCCTTTCGCATACACAAATTGCAGATCCTTCTAATCGAGGTATCGTAATATTTATAATGCACACAAAAGTCCATGTCGTTGGGCAATATTGAAATAATTATACGTTGAATTTCCACCCTATTGTCTCTGTAGCCCCAGAAACACTTCACCGCATCCTCACGCCAACAGTCCGTAATCGGGCCAAATAGGTCCCGAAGTAAAAAGCTAGCTACCAAGGGGAAGCCTAGTATAAAGTCCAGCATTCTGTTTCGGAATATATCCTGCACTAGAGTCCTTGGTAACTCCACTTTTGCAATGTCCTCCACACTGCATTTCTCGTTCAGCACCTGTCTAGTCAAACTTTTTAATGTTTTTGGATTATGCACGCCGTCAACCACCACACCAAATTTGCTAGACTTAGCACTCACAGTTTGGTATGCAATATCCATTATTATTATTTGTATTATTAGCGTTCGAAAAAATGTTTTTAAACGATTTTTCAAAGTTTTTTTACTTAAATACAAAACAAAATTCTATAGGGGTGGTGGTATATGCTGGGCTTAGTGGGGGTACCTACCTGCAAACTAATAAAACTCGAAGGCTAGAGGTCCAAATTTCTTTTAGTTTTGAACGTCTGCTTGAAGATTACAGTTTAGTGATGGAATCCCAATATCTCGATAATATTATTTTGGAGAGAGAATATGTACATTTAATTAGCCGTTTTAATTTGACGTCGCGACGCATGATTTTTCGCTTTAGAGAATACCACGGAGTGCAGGACCATCTTGAATGGTTAACAGTGAGTATTTCCATTATTTTAAAAATAAAAAATCTACAGTGTAGTTATATATGCATATGTATATATATATATATATATACCATCTATGTACTTATACTGAAATTTGTTATTATTATGTATATTTTAATTTATTTTATATATATTTTACTTACCTATGCTTTACTTACACTATAATTTGTTATGTTATTTTTTTATATTTTTTAATTTATTTTACTTTTTGATTCATTTATATTTTAGTTTACAATTTAATATGTAATTATATTAATATTTAATCTTTTAATTTATTTTATATATATTTTACTTATATTAGAATTAAATTTTGTTATGTTATTATTATTTATATTTTACATATATTTTACTTACCTATGCTTTACTTATATAAGAATTAAATTTTGTTATGTTATTATTATTTATATTTTATATATATTTTACTTACCTGTTTTACTTATATTTAGGAAAAAAATAATAAAAAAATATTTAAAATATTTGTTTTTTATTTAATTTACGAAACATTTTTCTTACAGTTGCATCATTTTTATATGTATTAGATGAAAACATATTTAAAAAATTATTTAAAGTATATTTCTTACTTAAACACACTAAAAACAAAATGCAGTATTGACCACACACGGTAGAAAACAAATTTTGTATTACATTAAAGTTGTATATCCATTTTTTGGAATTTTTATTTAAAAACTTTTTTACATTATATTTAGGAGGTCTTCCAAAACTGTCAAAATAGCATCCATCGCCTTTATTATTGATAAAAACAGCACACCAATGGCTTCCAGGCATATAATCAGGATCTTCATTAATTACTATAGCCAAAGGCTTACTAATATAACGGGGTATTTGATTAACGGGGAAAACTCCAGTATGAACGTGTTTTGGTAAAAATCTGCGTAAATATCTTATTACTTCGGATGAATACATTCCACAATTTTAACGTTTGTGCTTTGAAAGTTTATACAGTTATGCATACAATATTTTAGGTACAGGTGTTTTTAAAATAATTTTTAAAGTAAATTTATTTAGGATCTTTTTTTATAATATAAGGATAATTAATACATAGGATATATCTAGCTACTGTAATCAACCACTACATTTCTATTCTTATCTATTTCAATAATATTATCGAATTCAGCGTAAATAATACAATTAACAGTCTCTGTAAGTGCCTCTTTAAAACGTACTTCCACGCGTAGACTGCCATTTCGAATAAGATTCCAGTAAATCAAACGCTGTTAAGCAGTAACCGTTCTTATAATTAATTCTATCTATACAAAGCCCATTGTTTGAAAAGTGTATTCCAGTCCCAGAAAATAAAGTATTATATGACCTTATATAATTATTATTATCAAAATCTGGTTGAAGCGGTTTAGAAGGAATTTGCTGACCATCAATATACAGTGATAAAAAGTTGATATCGTAGTGTTTAAAATTAAACGGGTTTTTCGTATAATCTCCGTTAAATGCTCTATTTGAAACAAAGCCCATAACACACCTTTTCGGTAACTGACCCAAAAATATTTTATCCAATGATTTTCCTTGAATGCCGGCTGGTATAGTTAAAACTTTAACATCAACCCTCGTTATGGGGTATTTAACAGGTGCTAGTTGTAAGGCTTTAGCATGTGCTAACAATACAGAAGGATTAATTTTCATTCTTCTTACTAAAAGGGTTGCATCTATGATTTTTAGTTTTGGTTCTTCATTAGCAGGAGCCATTAAAACAAAATTATCTCTTGATCTAACTAATTTCACAAGTTCAAGACCATTCATTAAAAACTTTTCTTGATTAAATAGGTCACCACTAAGACGTCCAATTAAATCTACGTTTTTTCCTAATTCTGTTAACTCACACCTTTTTGTATGTCCTGTATTACTTGCATTTATTTCTTCCATTGATTTAGCTGTATCTAAATACCATAGACTTGAAGTGAGATGGGAATTTGATGCCTCCGGACCATAATTAAGTAATGTTTTTATATATGATCTATATGCATATGTGTTGTTCGGTGGAGAAATTAATTTTTGATTTAAATAAACATCAACTTGACTAAACATTGAATGCAGGAGATTATTTACCGGGCCGATCGTTTTTTCACCCTCTGTTGCGTTTGTGTAATTTGAATTATCTTGTTTACATATTTTTGCTTCTATATGCAACAAAGTATGGGATAAATCCAAATATTCATCACCTATAACAGGTATAACAAATTCCAGAGGTGCTTGATCCGTTAAAGATGAAAGAGGTTTATAATGAATCCATTGCCCTGACTCTACACTAGTTTGCGTTGAAGGTATGGCAAATAAGTCCAGTTCACTTTTAATACACTCACACGATTGATTATGGATGAAAGACATTGTTTTTAGTTTTTATTTAACCAAAAATATCTTCGAGTTTTCGTTTTTTAGTCTTGCGCGTGTTCTTACTTTCAATAGCTAATACTTTATGCTTTCTTTTAATAGCTTTCTTTCTTTTTATACGCTTCCCTGACCCCACCATTTCTTCCACTTTTTTCATGGCTTTAGCTTGTAAATTTTTTTGTACCTTCATTAAACCGTTCTTTAAACGCAGCTTTGGGAGAAAATTTGAGAAAATTAACACCAGTATGAGCAGCCTCTGTTCCTATTGTTTTTATTCCACTTTTAACTAGAGGAAATATAGTTCTATATAACCCTTTTAAAAAACTACCAATGCCCCGCCCCTTTTGGTAATAGGCACCTTTATACACTGCTCCTACACCCGAACCAGCTTGATTTAAATAATAATCGCTATACAGACACTTTACGGTCATTTTATTCTTTTAAAGTGTAGTTTAACACTGACAGTCCCAAATAAGAATGGCACTAATTCACCGGTTTCGGTCCTTATATCAATTTCTATATTCTCAAATTCACGTTTTAAAACAGGAACATAGTGCGTCGGTGAAAATACTTTCATTTTATGACTCCCATAAACATATTTTGAATTATCCACTCTTACGTTACGAATTAATTTAGCCATAGTATCCCCTACAATCTGAGGAGTTATAATATCGCAATAAATGAAAAATTGCGAGGGCAACACCAAAATAATATTGGATGGATGTTGAGCATAGCAATTGTTTAGTATATTTTAATCCACTTCCAATCCCGATTGTAGAGCCAAATAAGTGCAGTCGTTTAGTATATTATGATCTGGCTCAAACCCCAATTGTAAAGCCAAAGAAGTTGAAAAAGTTATTGATAATAAACTGCTTACATCAGAAATTTTTACATATACTTTATGAGTAGTTTTATCCATATTAAAACTTATTTGTCTTCCTACTATACGCGTATTTGAGTAAAGCATCAAGGCTATCATAACTACCAGTTTTTATTTTGACTTTTTCATATGATGGATTGCCTTGTTCTTTTATGTATATAATATTTTGGGTATCTCTCACAGTGAGCACTGAGCATGGATATTGAAATTCTGTTACACCTACTTGCCATTCTCCCTCAAGATGAATAGAATTAGGAAGTTGAGTATTAAACTGTGTTGTTTTATTGTTGGGGAAATATTCTATAGAACTATTACTAAGCAGAGTCAGAAAAAATTCGTTTGGCATTTTTTATGGTAAAGTAATATTTTTTTGTTGTACCCACGAGTCAAATTTTTTTGGATAACCTTTCCACCTAACGTACACTTCGCGTATGCCACGTTTTATCCGCTTTCCTAATATTTTATCTAAACTGCGCACCACTCAATGTGTCGCGACCAAAAAGTTCGTTGTTTTTCAAAACGACATAACTTTTTCGTTTCTTAAACGATTTTATTTTGGTCTGTGATGTCTCTTAGCCCCATCCTCTGGCAATTCATGATATATATATGAAGCTTAAGGTTCTTCAAGTAAATTACCGGCCTCGGTGGTGTAGTGGTCAGAGCTCCTGGGTACGAGCCGAGAGGTCGTGGGTTCGAATCCCACTTGGGTATGGTTGTTTATTTGTGTTTGTCCATTGTGTATAGTCCTTCGGAGGGGACTTTAAGCCGTCGGTCCGTTCCTACCCCTAACCCGCACAAGCCATTCAGTTGGCTTATGGGACATCTTAGTTTGGATGTAAGGGTGGAACTAAAAGAGCACTTTATAACTTTATAACTTTATTTCCTACAGGGTGATATGTTAAACGGTGAAAAATTTCAATAACTTCATCCAAGCCTCGTTTGTAAAAAAATAATTTTTTTCTTGTTTTTACTTTGAAATAATGAAGTATTATGTCTTACCTTGAAACAATTTTAAAATTTTTGGAATTGGAATCTTGACAACGAAAATATGATTTTTTTTTACATTTAAGGCTTTTTTGTAGGCAATTTAACAGCCGGGAATTGTTTTCGAATTTTGATTCTTAGTGATTTTGGTTTTATCTGAAACTTAAATTTGACAACTGAATCACAATCAGGGGGTCAAAATTATAAAGAAAACATGTCACGAACGTAAATATCGGTTCAGGATTGGTTTTCGCAAATTTTCACCAAAACGTCATTTTGAAAAAGTGGTATTTGCTTAGGCCCCTCTGAAAATAATGGAAGTTTGTTGCTTGTCGCTTTTTCAGAATTATTCAAGGAACAATCTGTCACCATATAATCTCATTGTTCTTAAAAGGACTGAGTGTATTGCCTACCAA